ATGGTGGCTTTAAGGACACTGCAAGAGCAACAGAGAGTAATACAAGTGTGATGTGGATACAATAAGATTTCTCCTGATAATTAATCAGTAAAGAGTTTGTGCTTTATGATTGCAACTAACTTTAATCCATTAGAGAAAAGAGGCATTCTGGATTGGCTGCTGACAGGAACTCCATTAAATCCGGACGCAGAACAACGCAGGTGGGAAAGAATCCGACGCTTTTTGGATCTGTGGGAACAACCGAGACGGATTGAAAATATTTTAACACTCCCTCAGAGAATAACATTAATAGATTTTGTCAGTGAATTACAACTCCATAGGAAGAAACTAGTAACATCTATTACCAAAAAGGTACAAGAACAAATAACACTATGGAGTTGTACTAAGCACGGTTTAGAGTGTCGCCCATGGATTCATGTTGTTTGTAATAATTGCCTTGATTCATGGTGGAGAGCAACCAGAGTAAATGAAAGAGAAAGACAATTGATATGCTCAGCTTGTTTACATCGTGTGCTTCATCAGTTAACTTTGGGAAAGTGTTTTAGTGATTTTTTAGGAATATCTTTGAGACACAAGGATGGATCTCTGGATGCAGCTGTTTGACTAATAGAGAATTTGGACCAAAGAATCCTTGCTGTATTAGCTTTTGAATGGGTAAAAGAGAGAACAATTCATAATATTATAATCCAGAGCACCATAATTAACAGCTGCTGTGGAGAAGAGATTTGTGTACCGTGCCACAGACACATTTCTGATAAAAACTGGCATCGTGAGTGTGCCTGTTGGTGGTGATGAAGGTGTAACAATCACCCCAGCGTCCAGAAAAGAAGATAACCTGACCAGTTGGGTCATAAATTGAAGTTGTAGTTGGCACATCTCTAGAGCTTTGATAATTTAGTACATTTGGTTTATAAATTGAAGTTGTAGTTGGCACATCTCTAGAGCTTTGATAATTTAGTACATTTGGTTTATACAGGTAAGTTTTGGCTTTAAAAGGAAATGAATAAATAGCAGGCTAGCCCAAAGGAAGGGATAAGTCGATGCTGCAAAATCTGTGCCGTTCTTGAAACCAACCACTAAAATGGCTCAGGTGAATATGATGAGACCAAAGGTAGCGGTGAGATGGAACGAGTCAATGGCGAGATCCCAGGATTTAAACTTTGCTCCCAAGAGGACTGGCACCTCGGCCCTTGGCTGCAACCCAAGGGGCCCTGAGGAAGGCAGAAAGTTAAAAGTGCTGAGGATTACTTTCACTGTGTTTATGATGATACCTTTGGTGATGGGCCAAAGCTCTAAAGCTGAATGGGAAGCAGCACAAGGGCCAGCCACAAGGAAGCAAACTATGCAAAAACAAAGTATCAGTAATTCCCACCCATGTGACAAATGTAATCAAAGGATCAAAGATAAGATGGAGTCTGTGTTTGTAGCACATTCATATGGTAATGTGGCCTGTTACAATCACAAGAATTTTCTGGACATCTGTGTTAAAAATAGGAAAATGTATTGGGTAGGAAAAAATCTGGGATTTAAGGGACGAGCTCCTTATCCTCATAATGATCAAATCTGTCCTCAATATGAAAAATTCTTCTGTTTTGAGAAAGACGAAAATGAGAATGAGCCAAATATAAATATAGCATTAAAAGAGAAAAAAGAAATAGAGAAAAGTGTGAAAAAGATTCCAGAGAAAGAATTAGAAGAATTGAATCAATTGTATAAACAATTAAAAGAACAATATAGCGACTGGGATTTGCCAACTACAACTAAAACCCTTTTTGTAGATTTGATGCAAGAGATTGCTACAGAACTAGGATTATCCAAATGCTGGGTTTGTGAGGGGCTCAGGATGGCTGAGAGGTGGCCATGGAGAGGTGAGAGTTCAGCTCCAGAGCAATTTTTAAAATGGAACCATACTCAAATCTCCAAGACATTAAAACAACCTGGAGGATGGATTTTGAGTCACCAAGTAATTGGGACAGTTTGTATAACTCGAGAAGGAAAGAAATACAATGAAGTGGTAGAATATACCCCTTGTACATCTACCCTAGGAGCAAATTCAGAGAACAATACAAAAACCTGGCAACCAAAAACTCCTGCTGGATACTGGGGAATAATGAAAGAAACTAATTGTGAGTGGGATAACCATATTGATTTGTGTCGGTATAAAAGTCCTGGAGCCAACCCTTACCAATCCATCAGTAACCTAAAATTTTATTGGGAACAACCAGGTACAACAAGTAACAAAGGGAAAGCCCCTGATGGAATATATTGGATTTGTGGACAAAGAACTTATAGTGAATTACCCCAAAAGTGGAAAGGAATTTGTACCTTAGGAATTATACAGCCCTCCTTCTTTGTTATACCAAGGTCCAGGACTAATATGTTAGGAACACCACTTTACAAAACACTAGAAAGGAATAAAAGGGACTTGAACTTTTGAAACACTGGAAATATTTATTATTTTTTCTTTATAACTAAAATATAATTATTTAATAAAACTATATATATTTTTAATAATTATATTATTAAATGTTTTCACTACCAAATTTTATATTTCTATAAAAGCATTCATAACTTTTTAGCAACTAAACAATTATTGCTCGTTGGTTCTAAGTAACAAAATTCTCTTCGCTAATGAATTGACCACTATTTCTCCCACTTTATGCTAATTAGTCCAATTTTTATTTCTTTGGGGTCTATGGAGACATTTCTGGGGCACATTTGGGGCAGTTTTGGGTCAGGGGAGGGAATTCAGAGAGAACTTCAGGGTCTGGAGGACGCTTGGGGGAGCCGGGTGAGCACTGGGAGGGGCACTTAGGGATTCTGTGGGACGATTCGGGGTCCGGGACAGCACCTGGGGGTCCAGGGGGACACTTGGAGGTCAGGGAGGGGAATCTGGGGGCGCTTCGGGGTCCGGGCGGGCACTTGGGGGGCCCTACCAGGGCTCTCTGGGCCGCGGGGGATGATGGGAGTTGTAGGCGCGGGTATAATACGGTGTAACGGCACCGCGGAGCATCACGGGAGTTCCAGGCACAGCTCCAATGGCTCTCGGTGGGGCGCGGGGCATGACGGGAGATGGAGTCACGGCTGGAATGGCGCTCTATGTGCGCCGCGGAGCATGATGGGAGCTGTAGTCCCAGGAGTGGCTCGGAAGGGGCCCATGGGGGTCCGGGAAGGCCCTTGGGGGACACTTTTGTGTCCGAGCCGTGGCTGGAGGTCCTCGGGGGGAACGTGTACGGCTGGGGAGCACTTGGGGGGAGCCTGGGGAGCTCTAAGCGGGCTCTTTACGGCGCGGGGCACGGCAGGTATTTTGGGGGAGGGTCGCGGCAGTAATTTTAGTCTCGGGACTGTGTTCTGAGGGGCTCAGAGGCCGCGGGGAATGACAGGAGATGAATTCCCAGAAGTGGCTGTAACGGACATCTGTGGGGTCGGGAGCATTCAGGAGATCCGGGGACGCTTTGGGGGTCCCGAATGGGCGCTGAGGGGGCACTCAGGGATCCTGGAGGGTCTGGGGGACACTTACGGGACAGATGGGGGCGATCCCGGGGTTCTGTGGAGCGCGGGGCATGACGGGCGTTGTAGTCCCGGCTCCAATGGGGCACTATCGGGGCGCGGGGCATGACGGGAGTGAGAGGCAAAAAGGAAAAATGGCGCCGACTGTCGGCCCCGCCCCCGAGTCCCTGATGCCCGGAGCTGATTGGCTGAAGGCCGTGATTGGCGGGAGCTTTGGCCAATAGGTGATGGCAGAGGCGGGAACGGCAAATTCCACCCTTCCAGTCCCTCCCAGTACAGCCCAGTTCATTCCAAGTGCCCCTTCAGACCCTCCCAGTAGAGCCCAGTCCGTCCCAATACACCTGAGTTCATTCCCATTCCCTTCCAGTTGCCCCCAGTGTCATCCATCCAACTCCCCAGTGTCCCCCAGTTTTTCCCACAGTGTTCCCAGTGTCCCCAGTTTGTCCCAGTATCCCCCAGTGTCACTCCCAGTATGTCCTCGTCTGTCCCAGTATGTCCCAGAGTACCCCCAAGTCCATCCCAACCCACCCTAGTTCCCCCTCAGCATTCCTCAGCTTGTCCCAGCCCTCCCCAGTATCACTCCCAGTATGTCCCAGTGTCTCCCACTGCATTCCCAGTGTTCCCCAGTATGTCCCAGTCCTCCCCAGGTATTCCAAGGAAACTTGAACTTCTCCCGGTTGCTGTGGCACCCAAACCCATTCTCCATAACTGGAGTTGCAAACCTTCCTGATGAGCTGCACTGGAGCAGAGGGAAATCAAGGCAGAGCCAGGGTTTGTGACGAAACCTCTGGAGAATTCCGTCATAATCAAACTCCAAAGTTGCTGATGCCGTTGATGGGTCCCACTGAGGGACACGGCTGAGAAAGTGTCCCCAGGTTCCAGTTAGAGCAGGAAATGGGAGGCAGAGATGACAGGTGGGGACAAAGAGAAGCCAAGTCTTGGTGCCCTGGGCCACAGCAGGGTCTGTGCCAGCAAGGGCTGTGAGGAGACACCTGGTCCTGAGGCCCTGGGGCCTCCTGGCACAGCCCCAGCAAGGCTGGCCACTGTCACCCCCTTGTCCTGCCCTCAGCATCCCCCCACATCCCAGGGGCCTCAGGGATCTGCTGGGACGAGTCCCTGGGGAGCCTTGGCCAGGAATGGCCCTGGGGGGCTCCTCAATGCTCCCAGGGACTGCAGCTTTTTCAAAGGACTTGGGGCTCTGCTCTTGCCTTGCAGTCTCTGAGAGGTTTGTGCACTCATGGCCTCCAATTATCCGCTTTAATTAGTCTCCTGAGAGCCTTTGTCAGTAACAACACTCTGTGGAGCTCATCAATGCCTCTGGGTGCTTCAGTTCTTTAAGGTACTTTCCTTTCTTGTTCCCACACTGGGACTCTGAGAGGTTTCTGGGCAATCAAGGCCTCCAATTCTCTCCTCCAAGGAGCCCATGAGGAGCCTGTGCTGGGGCTGGACCCCAGTGGGACCCATTAATGCTTGGAGACACCTGGGGTTTTCTTCTGACTTGGACTCCTGGAAAAGTTTGTGCAATCTCCTCTCAGGCTCTGGGGTTCAAGGGCTCAGCACCAAATGCACCCCGGGGCTCACTGGGCTCCAGCAAGTCCTGACAAAGCCTGGCTCTGCCTGCATTTCCCTCTGCTCCAGGGCAGTTCATCAGGAAGGTTTCCTACTGCAGCTCTGGAGAAATATTTCACAGAGCTTCTAAGATAGTCTGAGAAATACACATTCCTATTTTAAAGAGTGACTTTTGATGCTTTTATCACTTCTGTCATTGGAGAAGAGGTGACAGGAACATTTGGAATTGATATTGACCCAGGGTCTCTCCTCAGGAGGCCTGGCCTGCTCAGAGAAGCTGTGCCTTGAGGTGTGAGCCAGAGTGGGCAACCTTGCTCCACATTCTCCATCCTGTCTGTCCTCCCTCACCTGGTGTTGGAGTCAGAGACACAGAGTGTGTGCCCTTAGCTCTGATTCCTGGCTCTGACATCCAAGAAAGCTCTGAATTTCATATAACACCATGAAAACAACTGCTAAATAGAAAAACTGAGAGTGTGAGTGTATAAATTATTGAGTTTTCTTAAGTCACTGGGTGAAAAAAGGTTTAAACTAGTTTAGAAAACAAAGGACAAGATGGAGGATCTAGGGTGTTGTCTCTTCTTCCTTCCTCTTTCTTCTTCATCTTCTTCTTCTAGAGGTTTTTGGGTAGTAGTAAGTGATTGGATAAGGAATGCCGCAGTGCAGTGAGCAGGTGTTGGGTCATTGGGTCACTAAGAAAAATAATTGACTTGGCGTTTGTTAATTGGGTAAATGGACATATAAAAAACCTTGAAGATCTTTGTTAGCCATTTGGCACCTTTCTATCTTAGTGCACGTAGCTCCTTGTAGCCTGTACCCATGTCATGTAGAGAGGAGAAGAATAAACAACCGAGTCCCAACAAGAGAAAACTGCCCCTCTCTCATCAATCTCAGTCCCAGGGGGAAAAAGAACCCAACCACAAGTGTCCCATCAGGACACCCTGGGACCTGCTTTGCTGCAGAACTGTTGCAATACAGCGTTGGTGACCTCAGGACCGCACCAGCCGGGAGTTGCGTGGCAAAGAATAAGGACGGGCGTGACTGGGCTGCCTGAAAATAAAGAACTTTAATAACAGATAAAATAACAAAGGGTGGAAGTTGTACACGGTAGGGGGTCAAACTCAGGAGACAGGGCAATGGGTCAAAAATCAAAATATATATATATATATATATTACACAAGTAAGCAGTCATGAAGGAGAACCACAAACACTACCATATATGTCAAACATCCTTATCCAATCGTTAACGAGAACTCCAAACATAACCTTATACAGAACTAACAGATTAACGTAACTCTACCCACAATCCTGTTCTCTTTGCCAGAACCTCACTCGATGTTTCCCACAGCCTTCAATCAATCCTTAACTCTGACTGCCCAACTCCCACAGAGAACTGGCTGCACTCAGGCAAACAGGGGTTTTCTCCTTTTCCTTTCCTTTGAAGCCATGGAAAACTCCCAAGTTTTCCTGCTGAGAACAGAGATACTCGTCAAGTGTGTGCCGAGCCCAAGGTGCCACCAATGAGGTTCCCGTGCCCTAGGGCAGAACCCTGCAAGGAATGTTCTAGACCTTTGCACTGCTTGGTTCCACGAGGCCTCGCTCTGTCACAATGGACTTTTGGTTCCATGAGGTTCCACAGTGTACAGTGCGTTATAGATACATTTTATATTGTTGGCTTTTTGCAAATATTAAAATGAATGTTATGTGTGTAAGAATGAGAAATTTTGTTGTATTAATATAGTTTTCTTTATTTCTGTTACTGATGAAATTTAGAAATAGTGGCATAATACATATATGTTAGGCTATGGCATAGTATTAAAATAAAAACTGCTTTTGTTTGTATAACCCAAAGACTGAGAAAAAAAAGAAATAGCTAAAGAACTCCTGCATTTGTGAACTATCTTACCCAGATGAAGACAGCAGTGACCAGAACTCTGGGGGGACGAATTTATTGCATTTCTGGTATCAGAGAATTATAAATCTCGATGGCACCAAGAAGATTGATCTATTGGGAAGGGGGCAAGAGAAAACTAACCAGAAGAACACCAAAGATCCTAAGAAGAATGTATGAATATGGATGAGAGTGTATGAATATGGATGAGAATTTATGGATATGTAGTAGGGTTCTGTTTTTAAGGGACAATCCTTTGTTAGTAAGGTGTGCTCTCTTGGCTGAATGCAGAGACACCCGGCTGGATCTCTATACTTCACTTTATTTTTTTCTCCTAATTGTCTTTTTTATTAAACTTTTAAATTTTATAAAAATTACGTGAACCTCGTTTTTCACACAGTGGATATTTGATTCCTTGGGGCCCCACGGTGTCAGAATGGTGTTTTTGGTTGTGTGAGGTTCCACAGTGTACAGTGGATATTTGATTCCTTGGGGCCCCACGGTGTCAGAATGGTGTTTTTGGTTGTGTGAGTTTCCACAGTGTACAGTGGATATTTGATTCCTTGGGGCCCCACGGTGTCAGAATGGTGTTTTTGGTTGTGTGAGGTTCCAGAGTGTACAGTGGATATTTGATTCCTTGGGGCCCCACGGTGTCAGAATGGTGTTTTTGGTTCCGTGAGTTTCCACAGTGTACAGTGGATATTTGATTCCTTGGGGCCCCACGGTGTCAGAATGGTGTTTTTGGTTGCGTGAGGTTCCAGAGTGTACAGTGGATATTTGATTCCTTGGGGCCCCACGGTGTCAGAATGGTGTTTTTGGTTCCATGAGGTTCCAGAGTGTACAGTGGATATTTGATTCCTTGGGGCCCCACGGTGTCAGAATGGTGTTTTTGGTTGTGTGAGGTTCCGTGCTCTCAGCAATGGTCTCCTTGCTGCTGAGGTGTCACGATGGAGCCTTGGTTTCATGAGCTTCCTCGGTGTCACAATGGTCTCCTTGGATCTGCAGTGTCCCAGCAGTGCCTTGGCTCCAGGGGCCCTGCTGTGTCACAATGGAGCCTTAGTTCCACCAGGCCCCACAGTGTTTCAAGGAAACAAGGGTTGCCTTGGTTTCACGGGCCCCAAAGTGTCCCAGGGGTCTCCTTTTCCTGCGGCAACCAGCAGCAAACCCCAGTGCCAGGGCCAAATGTGTGGGAAGAAGGAGGAGGGGGGACATTTGGAGTGCTGGGTTTTGCCTTCCCAGGTCCCAGTGAGGTGGGATGGGGCCCTGCTGTCCTGGAGATGGCTGAACAGCGGCCTGCCCATGGGAAGGGGTAAGAGACAACAACCTCTGTCCATGGAACAGCAGCAGAGAGCTAGGGCAGCAGGCTGCGTTTAAAAGAGTGTCACCAGCACGGGAAACATCAACCTAGGACATTTTCTTGAAAGCTGCCCTTTGAGGCCATTCTTTTATACAGAACTGGACCACTGGGAAAGACAACGTTCACTTTCCTGGTCAATTTTAAAAGGTTTAATAAAAAAGACAGTAGGCAACAAAGACAATAAAGCAAAGGGTTAAAAGGGCCGGGTGTTTGGCCCTCTGCCAAGAGCACCCCTGGTGTTCTGGAAACACCCTTTATATCCCATTTCTATTGCATCAACTTGGTGGGAACTGACATTGGTCAAAGAAGAGATTTTTAGGTTTCAGGCATTAGCTTGAGCCTGTGTGAAACTGAGTCCCATAAAGTTCTCACTCTGGGCTGAGAAATCATGAGGAGGAATCCAAACAGTCCTTGGGGAAGGAAAACAACCTTGGCAGGTGTTGTTTGGATCCTTGTTGTTTCCTCGCAAGGAACAGACAAGGGGTGTTGTTCCTAATTGTGCAGGGATGGTGACGCGAGGCTGTTTTCTGTCTCTGAGGATTGTTTTAATTCCTCTTTATGACTTCCCAGGATGCTTCCTCAGGCAGGAACGAGAAAATTACGCGGCCTGCTATTCCACAGGCGCTGTGATTGCTGATTGCTTTTAGCATCCGTCCCAAAATCCTGCTTTTTCTGGCCAAAAATCCAATTTTTAATCCCAAATCTCCCGTTTTCCATCCCAAAATCCCGTTTTTTCTGGCTCAAAATCCCATTTTTCATCCCAAATCTCCCGTTTTTCATCCCAAATCTCCCGTTTTTAATCCCAAATCTCCCGTTTTCCATCCCAAAATCCCGTTTTTTCTGGCTCAAAATCCCATTTTTAATCCCAAATCTCCCGTTTTCCATCCCAAAATCCCGTTTCTTCTGGCTCAAAATCCCATTTTTCATCCCAAATCTCCCGTTTTTCATCCCAAATCTCCCGTTTTCCATCCCAAAATCCCGTTTTTTCTGGCTCAAAATCCCGGTTTTCATCCCAAATCTCCCGTTTTTCATCCCAAATCTCCCGTTTTTAATCCCAAATCTCCAGTTTTCCATCCCAAAATCCCGTTTTTTCTGGCTCAAAATCCCATTTTTCATCCCAAATCTCCCGTTTTTCATCCCAAATCTCCCGTTTTCCATCCCAAAATCCCGTTTTTTCTGGCTCAAAATCCCGGTTTTCATCCCAAATCTCCCGTTTTTAATCCCAAATCTCCCGTTTTCCATCCCAAAATCTCCCGTTTTCCATCCCAAAATCCCGTTTTTTCTGGCCCAAAATCCCGGTTTTAATCCCAAATCTCCCGTTTTTCATCCCAAATCTCCCGGTTTTAATCCCAAATCTCCCGTTTTCCATCCCAAAATCCCGGTTTTCATCCCAAAATCCCATTTTTAATCCCAAATCTCCCATTTTTCATCCCAAATCTCCCGTTTTTAATCCCAAATCTCCCGTTTTCCATCCCAAAATCCCGTTTTTTCTGGCTCAAAATCCCAGTTTTAATCCCAAATCTCCCGTTTTTCACCCCAAATCTCCCGTTTTTAATCCCAAATCTCCAGTTTTCCATCCCAAAATCCCGTTTTTTCTGGCTCAAATCTCCCGTTTTTCATCCCAAATCTCCCGTTTTTCATCCCAAATCTCCCATTTTTAATCCCAAATCTCCCGTTTTTCATCCCAAATCTCCCGTTTTTAATCCCAAATCTCCAGTTTTCCATCCCAAAATCCCGTTTTTTCTGGCCTAAAATCCCGGTTTTAGTCCCAAATCTCCCGTTTTTCATCCCAAATCTCCCGTTTTTCATCCCAAACTCCTGTTTTTCCTGGCCAAAACTCCCGTTTTTATCCCAAATCTCCCTTTTTCCATCCCAAATCTCCCGTTTTTCCCCAAATTTCCCCCCCTGCGCCCCATCGGATCCCCATGGGTTAACCGTTATTCCCCGCCCATTTCCGGGACTACATTTCCCATCACACCTCTCGCCGGTTTCCGCTCTAAGTCCCGCCCCTTCCGTTTGGCGCCCGCTCCATTTCCGGTCCCGCTGCCGCCGCCATGTTCCTGCAGTGCTACACCAACGAGCGCGGGGAGCGCGTTTACACCCTGCGGGTACGGGGCTGCGCCTCGCAGCGATTTTTGGGGTGTTCGGGGACGTTTAGAGGGGATATTTGGAGGGGCTGGGGATTTCTGGGTGTGCGGGGTGGGGTTTGCCGGCGGCACGCGGCGGTTTGGGTGCCGTGAGGAGGGGGAGTTTGGGGTTGTTTCGGTGTCTCCCTCACGCTCTGTCCCCTCACAGAAAGTGTCCCCGGACGGGATCCCCACACGCTCCGCACACCCCGCCCGCTTCTCCCCCGATGATAAATTCTCCCGGCATCGCCTGGCTCTGAAGCGACGATTCGGGGTTTTGTTAACGCAGCGAGGCCAGACCCTGCTGTGAGGGACCCCAAAAATCCGAGACCCCCGAAATGAACCCGAGAGCTCCGGAGTGACCCTGAGACCCCCGGAGTGACCCCGAAATGATCCCGAGACCCCCGGAGTGACCCCGAGACCCCCGGAGTGACCCCGAGACCCCCGGGATGACCCCGAGAGCTCCGGAGTGACCCCGAGATCCCCGAAATGGCCCCGGGACCCCCGGGATGGCCCCGAGACCCCCAAAATGACTCCGAACTGACCCTCGGAGTGACCCCGAGACCCCCGGGATGGCCCCGAGACCCCCGAAATTACCCCAAAATGACCCCGAGACCTCCGGAGTGACCCCAAAATTACCCCGAGACCCCCGAAATTAACCCCGGGAGTGACCCCGAGACCCCGAGAGAGACCCCCGGAGTGACCCCTAGAGCTCCGGAGTGACCCCGAAATGACCCCGAGACCCCCGGAATGACCCCAAGAGCCCTGGAGTGACTCCGAGACCCCCGAAATGGGCCCGGGACCCCCGGGATGACCCCAAAATGACCCCGAGACCCCCGGAGTGATCCCAAAATGACCCCGGAGTGACCCCGGGATGACCCCAAAATGACCCCGAGACCCCCGGAGTGATCCCAAAATGACCCCGGAGTGACCCCGAGACCCCCAAAATGACCCCGAGACCCCTGGGATGGCCCCAAGAGCCCCGGGATGACCCCGAGACCCCCGGAGTGACCCCAAAATGACCCCGAAATGACCCCGAGACCCCTAAAATGACCTCGGAGTGACCCCGAGACCCCCAAAATGACCCCGAGAGGACGAAGAAGGAGTCGAAATAAGATAAAATCCCAGCCTGAATGAACTCTGCAAAAGGATGAAACAAAAGGTTTTAAAGAGGAGGAAAACTGAAATATTAAATTATGGCGTGGCCGAGGGTCTCAGAGTTCCGCTGCCCAAATAAATTCGGAGTTCTTGGTCCTGTTTTTGGGGCAGTTTTGGGTCTGGGGAGGGAATTTAGAGAATTTAAGAGGATTTTCGGGGAGCCGGGAGGGTTTTAGGGATTCTGTGGGACAATTTGGGGGTTCCTGTGGGGTGGGGAAGCCCTCGGGGGGCCTTGTGGAGCTCTGCCGGGTTTTGGGGGGGTTTTATGGGGTTTTTTTGTGGTTTCTTGGGGTTTTTTGGATTTTTTTGTGACCGGAGCGCTTCGTGAGGGCGGTGATGGAGGAGGAAGGCCCGGCCGGGATGAGGCGGGGGCTGAAGTCCCGGTTTTACCTGCGCTCCGTGCGGGCCCCAAAGCGGCCTCAGAGCAAAGCTGCGTGGTTTGGGGGTGGCTGTGGATCCGAGGAGGCGTTCGGGGGTCCCGGGGAGGGTCCCGGGTGGATCCCGGGTGGATCCCGGGGGGTCGCGGCCCTCAGGCTTTGGGGTACCGGGGGCTCTGAGGGGCGCGGGGCATGACGGGAACTGTAGTCTGAAATCACATCAGGCTCCGCCCCCGGGCACCGAGCCTGGCTGCTGATTGGATGAGGGCGGTGAGGGGCGGGAGCTTCAGCCAATGAGAGGCGGCGAAAGCGGCAACAGCGCGTTTGTGCCCGCCCCAATCCTTCCCCGTACAACCCCGGTACATCCCAGTAAGTCCCAGTTCATCCCAGTGCCACTCCCAGTATGTCCCAGTTCATCCCAGTGCCACTCCCAGTATGTCCCAGTTCATCCCAGTCCATCCCCAGTATGTCCCAGTTCATCCCAGTGCCATTCCCAGTAAGTCCCAGTTCATCCCAGTGCCACTCCCAGTATGTCCCAGTTCATCCCAGTCCCTTCCAGTCCCCCGCAGTACAGCCCAGCTCATCCCAGTCCATCCCCAGTATGTCCCAGTTCATCCCAGTGCCCAGTATGTCCCAGTTCATCCCAGTGCCATTCCCAGTATGTCCCAGTTCATCCCAGTCCCTTCCAGTCCCCCCCAGCATCTCCCAGTATGTCCCAGTCCATCCCAGTGCCACTCCCAGTATGTCCCAGTTCATCCCAGTCCCTTCCAGTACCCCCCAGCGTCCTTCCCCAGTGCTCCCAGCGTCTCCCAGTACAGCCCAGTTCATCCCAGTGCCACTCCCAGTACGTCCCAGTGCCCCCCAAATCACTCCCAGTATGTTCCAGTTCATTCCAGTATGTCCCAGTCTATCCCAGTGCCATTCCCAGTCTGTCCCAGTTCATCCCAGT